GAGAGAGAGAGAGAGAGAGAGAGAGAGAGAGAGAGAGAGAGAGAGAGAGAGACCACGCACTCTGCTCAACAGGGACAAAATATAAACCACAAAGACATGCCCTAGGGACCCACTCTCTCTAGCCACACTCTACCAGCCTTCAGTTACCATCCAATTAATCCTTGATTTATTGCCTAAATCAGTGGATTAACACACTGATTATGTTAAGGGTCTTATAACCCAATTATTTCATCTCTAAACACTTTTGCATTGACTGACACATGAGCTTTCGGGGGTTACCTCATATTTAAACCTGTATATGAAGATTTTCTTTAAAAAAATAAGTACAATACTTTAGGGACAATTTCACAGAATCTTTGAATTAATTCACTTTGTAAATTTCAATCCATTTTTCTCACTATCTTGAAAAATAACCTTTTAAAATTTATATCTATAAACACACAAAGAATATAATTGATCAAGTTCAGAGCTTCAGATTTAGTATGTATATAAACTGCATTTTTATATAAAACTTTCACTTCTTATTTCTTTACAGATGCCAATTAAATGGATGGCACTAGAGTGTATACATTATAGAAAATTCACCCACCAGAGTGACGTTTGGAGCTATGGTAAATAAATCTTCCTTATGAATTAAGGTTTTTAAGCCAAAAATAAATACATTCAGTTCATGTAAAATATCCTAAGTCAAAGTATTTTATTGTGTTAAAACTATCTATTTATAGGCCTCATTTCCTAAAGAAATTAACTTATTTAAAAATGCAAAAGAAAAATACTGTAAAGAGTACTTTTTATTTTTTTTATTTTTTAATTTCATGGTCTTCTAAAATGGAAAATGTTGATATCTCTGCCATCAGCTCTGGTTTGGTAGCAACTGTCTGATCATTTTTACTGAAAACAAATACAAAAACAAAACTCGGCCAATTTTAGTTTAGGGATAATTTCACAGAATCTCATGGTGTTAATTTTCAACAATTCTTTGAAAATATAATTCTGAATGCAAAGAATGTTGAAGGACAAAATAAAAACAATGACAGCTTTTTGTTTTCCTTTTTGCTATGGGAATTTCTGTTCTATGATAGAAAATTTAGAGATTATGGTCATAACAATTAACAATTACTGAAAATAGAGGTAAGAGAGAAGACTTCTAATTGCAACTTCAGTTTTAATTTACAAACAACTTTTGGAGTAATAGAAACATTATAGAGTGAATAATATGAATTCGTAAAGATTGATATTTATAATTAGAACATTTCTTTCATTGTGTTTAACTCAGTGGTTATGATGAGCTCTTCAGCATCTATCTGGCTCCTTACAACTTGGTCTGCTTATCACTTAGCAAGAGTTAAGGACTTTTCTGAGTTTGAATATGACATAAAAAATAGCATTTATTTAAAATAAAAAGCACCAAAATGCCTATTTAAATGAAAAGTGTAATGGTGGGATTTAAAGATCTGGTACAATTTGTTTTATTCAAATTTAAGCTTACTTTTAAGTTTTCATTAAAAATAAAATATTTAGACCATTTAATTACTAAAGAACTCACGACTCTTCTGTAGAAAATAAATTCATTATTCCTAAAAAACTACTTAAGACATTTCAATAAAATGTGTCTCCCCTGTGTATGCCATAGAAAGTATGTAAATTTCAAAAAGACTGCACATATTCTACTTTTCTTAGAAGTATAAATGTGTGTTTGAAGTTTAGGCAAATATAAGAGAAAAGCCTGGCAAAATTTAGTAGACGTGCTGCTTAACTGCAAGTGATAGATAGAAAAGCAAATCTATCACATATATGATAGACATTTTATATAATGCAGATTAGCATACAGATTATTACTTATGTATTACATGATAGCATAAATACATGATCTGGATAGATTTATAAATTATGTATCACAGAAGATTTATGTATGTTCTTATGTATATTAGTATAATATACATATAGGCTTTTTTCTATTTCTTTTCTTTATGTACTTTCTTTTCCATGAATTAGATGTGATAATTTTAAATGATATTAAAATAAGCCAACAAAAAATGTTGGCAGAACTATCATAATTTTAATAATAAAATGTGTCTTTGAAGAAAATCCTGTTACTTGGGCTGTACTAGTTTTCTGCACGTTATGTTTCTAAAAATCTCATGTTGTTTAGTAAAAATGAAGAAGTGGAGATACAGTATTCTATTATGAAACACAGCCCAGATCGTCAATACATATTCATCAGGCACTTTAAGATTCTTATGATATATCATAAGTGATTGCAAAAGGCATAAAAGGCAGAGAAAGCTACATAATCTTGTTTATAGTACACCTTTATGAGAAATTATCACTGGCTGCATCTTTATATTTATAAAAATGTGCATCAGCTATGATGATATATATATCTTCAGGTGATGGAGCTGCAGTATATGTTTTTAAGCTGTTTCTGATTGAATTTTTCTGAGATTGTTCTTTTCCATGAAGCTATCCTTATTTAACACTTATTTTGTCATCACTCTACCAAGAAAGGATTGGATTGTTCTTATAAGTGGGGGTTTGAGTTTCAGCTTTTATGTTTGTATATATGCTTCTGTCAATTATATATTTTTATTTGTAATTGCTGTGCAGTTTGCTTTTGTTGTAAGTTCTGATAGAGATGTGAGAGTATCTGTTCTGAATTTTATGCCTACCTGAGTTAATAAAATGTAATCATTAAATGCATATTATATGAGTATGACTAACTAGAAATATACAACCATTCATTCTAGTTGGCAGCAGAGAAGAAAACATAGCCTTACCTAATGGATTTTTAAAATGTATCTGTCTGTATGCATCAATCAAACTCAGGTTGTAATATTATTGTGCCCACCTATTTACAATTTAAAAATCTTTATCCCTAAGAAAAATGTAACTTTAAGTATGTGGTTGTTTATTATATCATAAGAAAGAGTTCTTTAGTATACATATTATTGCCTGAATCAGAATTACTATTGTTATCAAAACAGGTTGTTTGAATGCTTTTAGTATTTTTTTTTTCCAGAGGAATCAGTGTTTACAGTGGCTCAAGAAAGTAATTTCATTATGCAAAGAATAAACTATTCTTGATTACTTTCCATTTTTTGGATGCCCACTTTTTAAGTATTATATCTTACATATGAATTGATCCCTGCATTTTGGTTCTTATGTGATAAATGACTTAATATGCTTTATTCTACTTTTTTTCTTTGTTAATGAAAAGGTGAGCCACAGGTCTTTACTGTGGCATAAGAAAATTATTCTAAAATCTTTGCTTAACTAACTGTTAAGGCTTTTATAGAAAAGGGCTAAATTTTGAGATTTAAAAATCAATTTCAATTTTTTCCTGAAAACATTTTTATTTGATGAGCTGAACACATATTTATACAATAAATAAATTGTATTCTGGGCTGTAACATAGCTTGGGTCAGCAAACATTAGCATTATTTATCAGTAGAAACGGGAATAGATTCTACACTCTGACATCAACTCTAAATCACCTCTACTATGCATTAACATTAAAAATTCCGAAACAATAATAAAAGAATCAAATTCTCCCACAAAGATTTTAGCACTTAGTAAATGCGGGAATCTGAGGAACCTTCTTTAACTTTCTTTTGATTGACCTTTAAGGAGCATTCTTTTGCCACTTGACATTTTGCTTGTTTGTTTGAATTATGTTGTCAGTATGCTTATGGAAGAATTTTATCTCCAATTTAGGAGTCACTATATGGGAACTGATGACCTTTGGAGGGAAACCCTATGATGGAATTCCAACTCGAGAAATTCCTGATTTATTAGAAAAAGGAGAACGTTTGCCTCAACCTCCCATCTGCACCATTGACGTTTACATGGTCATGGTCAAATGTAAGAGTGTGAAATAATTTTATAGTCATTATCACTGTTCTTAATAAAATAATAGTAGAGAGTATACTAGAGTATAATGTTTCTCTGTATTGGAGAACAGAACAGTTGAAAAATCACTGATGGAGCATGTAAACACCTGTTTGCTGTAATTATTAATATACAGTAATATCATGCTTCCATACTGTGAAGTCAAAGTTAGATGACTCTAACTATTCTTAAATCTTATAATTTTCAGAACTACCTACCATAAAGAAATATAATTAGTTACAACGTTGTTAGTGGTAACATTAATGTTAGTAATCTTTAAGGGAGTATGTCAGACTAAAATTAATGATCTAAACAAAGAAAGCTTGAAACTGGTAGTTTAAAAAATGAATTAAATGGAAATAGGTTTGTCAGTTTTTTTAGTCAGAGCAAATTATCCAAGTAGGGTGGGAAGTAGAAGAAATGTCTCTACATTCAGCTAAAATGATGAGGAATGTTTATTTTCATCAACTTGATCATTTGTTTACATCAAACTCTTACTTTTCTTTCCCCTTACTATGCTCCAGACACATATGTATTATAAATGTGTTCTGGAAGTCTAGGCCCTTAATTTAAATAGAATTAGGGAAGTCTCTGGAGTTCCAGACTTAATTTAAGTGAGATTAACAGGAACAGTCTCTCTTGCATAATCTGGGGTTTTCCCCTTTTGAAATACACAGTGTTAGCAAAGGAACCAACTGGTGAAGGTGAATAAGCACCTTATTAATAAGAGACTTTGGACCCAGGTCTACTCAAATTTATATTCATGACATGCGTGATGCATTCTGACAGGGAGGCAAGAAATAAAAACTGTTCTTTACAGTTCAGGTCAGCATGCCCTTTTTTTCTAAGCACAGTTCTATTTACTCAATATTTAGAGAGGACCACATATCTCACAGTGAAGTTAACCTTTTGTGGCTCTAAGAGTTCCATAAACAAATATTTTTTTCATGAACATCTCAGTAATAATAAGCATTTCTTTAAAATGAGTATATAGAAAATGTACAGTGTTTGAGTTTTGTTAAGAAAGAAAAAAAGTAGGTGACATCAATGATACATAAAACAATACCCAAAGAATTCCCAGAACAGGAATAAAAATTGAACCCCAGAATAGGAGAAACAGTCTTTATAGTTTTAATCAATCAAACATGGCTTGGTAAATGTCCAGAGAAGAAAGTATTAAAATATGCAAGCATTATATAATTTGATCCCATAACCAGAATAGGAGATGATTTAGATACTCTGATGAAATGATATAAAATTAGGCAAAATTTTTACCTTATTAAGCAAACTCTACTGGGAATTTTACCTCCCCCAACCCCAGGAATTTTAATACTTTAGAAGAGAATCATTTGACAAAAAAAAAAAAAAATCAAGGAAAGCTGATGCTTTTATTCTTGTCATATCATCCTCTAAATAGCATCTAGAAAGATAAGATCCATTTTATCTAGACTCCCAGCTAAATAATAATGTATACCTTAGAAACTGCTGATAGTATTTTTATGCATGAAAGGTTAGTACTAAGATAAGCTAATGATTATTGTTGGACAAACATTACCAATACTTTACATTCTTTCTTTTTCCCCACCAGGAAAAAGTGGCACAAAAGTTCCTTTCAGTTCCCTTTTCCTCTCTCTGTTCAGTGATCAGTATTGCACCAAATGTTTTCTCTCCTGTCATTCCTGATACAAAATGATAAATTATATTCCAATCACCTCATCTATAATCAACAAAGTTTCAAAAAATTATCTCCACACCCAAAACAACAACAAAAATCTGATTTTCCATAACTTCTCATAGCTAGTCTGCATTCTGTTTTCTAAGAAGAAAATAAAAATTTTAAATATTTCATCTGATATTTTATAGTATATGACAGTAAGTGATGAGTATCAGCGAACTGAGTTCTTTCACTAGCCTCCTTCATTTTTCAGATCATTATTATTAAAACAATATTTTTCACACTTTAGCCTATATTTTCACAAAATTTAAATGTCACTGCTTTTTTCAAATATAGATATCTGACACTTTTATTGTGTGTAAATTTCCAGGCTGGATGATTGACGCTGACAGTAGACCTAAATTTAAGGAGCTGGCTGCCGAATTTTCAAGGATGGCTCGAGATCCTCAAAGATATCTTGTTATTCAGGTTAGTACACTTGACTTTGTTTTTAAGACTATCCCCCTGGCACATGCACTGCAAAATATGACAATCTCAACTTTAGTGCTCCAGACCACTAACATTAATTAAGTGTGTTATGGTGTGAAACAACTTATACAAAAGAACTCTTTACCTGATCTCAGATTCACCTCTCAGAGCCTTCCCCTAGTGCTCTAATGAATGCTATTGAACAGCCAAATGATTATGATAACCCATATATGTAAAAAGGTTTTATCCTCAGAAAAACCTTCTATCACTCTGCTTTTTATTAGTATTCTGTATAACTCATGGTCATTATTGTAATCTTTCCTTTATAGAATCAAAGGATGATGGATTTTTGTTTTAATCAGAGAAAAATGAATCGAAAATTTACATATAGTAACATTTAGTTTCCTAGAAAAATGTCTTACAATATATTTTTATATTTGCAGAAACATGCAGCATCCAAGAAAAAACTCAATTCAAATAATTTGATGCACATATGAACTAAATAATAGACCAAAAGATCATTTTATGTTTAACAACAAACATACTTTTGTAATCTTTAGTCAAGAGCAAATTATCTGGGTAGGGTGGATGGAAAAATGGATTGTATGATTTAAAAAATTCTAATTTATCTATGATATTTTTTCACCCAAAACATAAACAAATGGACCTTTGATACACTGAATTATATTTTCTTATTAAAACAAAGGAGCCTTTATTTCCCTATCAATACTCTTACATTAAGATCAAAGTCACCCTTTAAAGTTAATGATGTCTAGTTATTTTCCCCCAAATTAACCTTTATGAACTGATTTTTTATTAAAAAACATACAATTTTGAAAAATAAAAAAAAAATAAAGAAAGATGGTGACAAGAAAGGGTTTTTTGACACTATAAAAAGAGTTTTGGTGTCTCTCCCATACCCATTGATTCTCTTCGCCATTTGTGCTGTGACTTGGAATGCTACCACTTTGACCCTGTGGCCATCGTTCATACCATATAACAAATCACAGAGCTTCTGTATCCTAATAACTGTACAGCATCAAACTAACTACATAAAATTAAGATTGATAAATCGATTGCCCTTTACTATTGATTCTTAAAGTCCAGCCCACCTACCATCTTGACAAAGAACCCTTAGCCTCAGATCTGAAGTGGATTTTGCCTCTCTAAAACATCTATAGCATTCTGTTTTATTCCTTTCTGATGTCATTCATCACATTCTTCTTGTATTAAATTTATTTACCTTACAGTGTCATACCTAAACATATTATAGGCTTCTTTATGGCTGAAGTTGTGCCAAAGAATTATCTCCTGAAATGTATACATGGATTTTTCAACAGTTGTTTGGCTCTTACATAAATTTGCTACAGAGACCACATATTTAAAATGAAGAGAAGGATCATGTATTTTATGTGTCTGATGGGCAATTCTTTCAGGGTGATGATCGTATGAAGCTTCCCAGTCCAAATGACAGCAAGTTCTTTCAGAATCTCTTGGATGAAGAGGACTTGGAAGATATGATGGATGCTGAGGAATACCTGGTCCCCCAGGCTTTCAACATCCCTCCCCCCATCTATACTTCCAGAGCAAGAATTGACTCAAATAGGGTAAGAATCAATTACATGCATGTCTCAGAAGTAAAATCATATGAACATATTATAAGTGCTAAAATTTCAAAATAACTAGATAGCTAAAATAATTTTGATTTCTAAAGACATACCAATATCACCAAAGATGTACCATGCTTGCCATATGCATAGTTAATTTTGGAAGACAAGCATGGATAATTCAATGTGTACTCTGAAATACCTCAAAATTTCAAAAGAAGGAAAGTTTTACTCATGTTACTTAAAACGGATCTTAATTTTTTAAAAGACAATTCAAATTTATAAAACTATATATATATATAATATATATATAATATATATATATATATATATATATTTTATATATATATATATAAATAATACAAATTCTTACCAAATACACTGTTTTGTTAAAAAAATGATGTGACTCAGTGGTCAAGAAGTAATACTAGTATAACTCTCACTTATTTAGGAAGCATTAAATATTTTCTGTCAAATTGAAATACACAGAAAACTACAATTCTTTGATCTAAATCATTCATATTAGAGGATATCAGAACCATTTCTAAGACAGACTTAAGTTTTGGAAGAAGCTTCTGAAAATAATTTACATGTGTTTCAATATGGCTTCCTCTTTGTATGAATATCATTTTTTTCTCTAAGGGTCATCAAATTCATGTTTGTTCATTTGTTTATTTTTAAAAATTCATTTATCATTCATGCAACATGTATTAAGTGCTTTTGCATAAGAAGCATTAGTACACATTTGAGAGTCAAAAAATTTTGACATAAATTCTGCCTTCAAAGAGGGTCCAGGCTAATTAAAGAGTCACACAGCTACAGAGGTGGAGGACTTCATGATAAATGCTGTAATCAAGTGTTTATTGACCATTATGGAGAATGAAGAAGCAGTAAATTTATTTCTGTAATCAGTGTCTTCCACTGATAACCACATGATGCTTAACTTTTTTTTTTTCTAGGAAGCTACTCATTCTCTTAATCTTCTCCTCCATCTCAGAACATTATCATAGCTGTAAAACCAAATAGTATCTCATTTTTCTTGACCATAGGCATAAAGAAATTTTTAACTTGCCGTTAATTTTCTAAAATGAAGTTCTTTGCATTTTTCAGATTGACAGCAATAATAATAAAGTAATGCTTGCCCTTTGTTTACTACTCAACACATAAATGTTAATCCTTTTAACATTTACAACAACCCAGAGGTTCAATTTTTATTACGCCTATCTTACAAATGAGGAAACTTGCCACAGAAAAGTTAGGTGATTTGTCTAGTTTACACAGCTACCCATTAGAAGAGCAGAATTCTATGTAAGCTACTTGCCTGTACTGTACTGTTCTATGGCTTTAAAATGATTGGAATGTCTTTATTTACATGATTTGATTGTTAATCTTGGCTTCAACCCCAGAATCTGGGAGTTGTCTTATTTGAGAAATTCCTCAGTGATTTTCTTATCAAATGTGTACCTCAACCTTTCACCCTCCTGCCTCCATTTAAAAAAATCTCAATTAATTTTTCTTTTCTATAAAATATATGTTATTGTAGACCAAGCTGAAAATTATACCACATGCCTGATGGAGAACAGATTAGTAAAAGTTTTAAATATTTGATCCACTGGTATATAATGAAAATCACTCTCTATATAGGTAGGAGCATTTTTAAGATATATCAGGGAGACATATTTTCCTTTCTGTACTTTGCAAAATGACCAAATTATTCCCTTGTTTTTATAACTTAAGATGGAAAATTCATTGCTTTTTAATACATTGGTGACATTTTAAGGAAACAGTTTGTGAAAGTGAAATTCTTGAGAACCTGAAATTTTTTTCTTATAGTTCTCAAGTTCTAAGTTTTTGTTCATTTTAGTTTATAATGCTCAAAGCCAGGAATTCTTAGTAAATAAGTTTGAGTTACCTAGAGTTAACAATATAAACTAGAAGTCATAGGAGGACTTATTTGACCCTAATCATCTTTTCTTACTCTGCATCTTTATTTAAACAAAATTATCTATAAATTTCTTTTTACTTTTTCAGTTCACAGTATAGGAATTGTGCTTAAATATCATTATATTTTTCAGTTACTAAAAATTCTTAGGAGTCATCTATATTGTTCTAATTTTTAATTTCTGGCTTTATGTAATTTTATGGCAAATTCTAATCTATATGAATATCATTCCTCCTCCTTAATTTTCTAAGACTAAGTTATGTTATTTTTATACTCAGGATACAATTACTTCAATTTGGGGTTGGGTGGCCAAATTATCTCCTAAGGGAACCTCATAAATTTTGATCAATTGTTTCTTAAGTATGTTTGGTAGACTAAAACTAAATAACAATTCAGTTTTTAAATGTAGACCTTATTGCCCACAGTCTAGAAGCTTTTAGTTAATGTTTTTTCAACTTTGAAATAGACAATATGATATCTATCTGATGTTAGTGTTATGCAATGAACTTCTAAAAATCACAGTTTCTGTTAAGTGACAGGCAAATAAATATTACTTTCATTTTAGAATTACCCACATTTTATTTTTTGTCAGTATCATATATCATAAATAATCATACTTTTTTATTAGGTTTTCTACTCATTACCTGTGAAAAACCTGTTGATGTAATCACAATTGGGCAAGAAAACTATTTCTGTTGATATGTTCTAATATCAACTAAATTTTATGTGTGTTTTGAAAAGTAGTAACTTTAAGGCTATGAGTATATTCAAAATACATTGATGATATTTGTCAAGAAAATTGATGAAAGTAATTGCAAATAATGCTAGAAAACACCTATTAAAATTATAGCTGATATCATTATCATTAAACATGTTTTTGCTATTATTTTGAACTTTTTGTCAAAATAATGTATACTAAACACTTACTCTACCATGATGTAAAAAGGAAAACATGAGGAGCTATTTAACTACTGCAACCTTTAGTTCTCTGCATCCATAAAATGGGGATTTAAAAAAATTTCTTACAGAATGTTGTGAAGATTAACTTTTTAGCATATGTGAGCATAATTGCCCTTTGATGAACCTGTTGGTGATTCTCAGTAGTGTGGAAATAAATGAAAATACCTGCCTTCAGCATTGCTATAGCAAGAATCAACTACCATCATTTGCACTTTAGCAGAAGCTAAGAGGCAGAGAAGTAGGAAAGCTTTGTAGGGTTATAGGAAAGGATTCAGGTCTAGAGAAGCTGTAGGCAGGCTAATTAGAAGTGATTGGTTGGAAGTATATATATGGTTCTCTGTAGTTAGTTCTCTTTAAAAAAATGTTCTAATTAGTTATACATGATAGTAGAATGTATTTGGATATGTTATACAAAAAGGAATATAATTTCTCATTCTTCTATTTGTACATGATGTAGAAGTACACTGGCCATGTAATCATATATGCACATAGTATAGTAATGTCTGATTCATTCTACTATCTTTCCTATTCCCATTCCCTCTCCCTTCCTTTCATTCCCCTTTGTCTAATTCAAAGTACTTCTATTCTTCCCTAATCCCTACCCCTCATTGTGAATTAGCATCTGCATATTAGAGAAAACATTTGGCTGAGTAATATTCCATTGTGTATATGTACCACATTTTCTTTATCCATTCATCCGTTGAAGGGCACTTAGGTTGGTCACATAGTTTAGCTATGGTGAATTGAACTGCTATAAATATTGATGTGGCTGTGTTACTGTAGTATGCTGATTTTAAATCCTTTGGGTATAAACCAAGGAAAGGGATAACTGGGTCAAATGGTGGTTCCATTCCAGTTTTTCTGAGGAATTGCCATAGTGCTTTCCATAGTGGTTGTATCAATTTGCAGTCCCATCAGCAATGTATCAGTGTACCTTTTCACACTCATCCTTGCCTACATTTATTGTTGCTTGTATTCTTGATAATTACCATTATGACTGGAGTGAGATGAAATCTTAGTTTAGTTTTGATTTACATTTCTCTAATCACTAATGATGTTGAACATTTTTTTCATATTTTTGTTGACTGGTCATTTTTTTTTTTGGTCAAGTATCTGCTCAGTTCCTTAGTCCATTTATTAATTGGACTATTTGGGGTTTTTTGGTATTAAGTTTTTTGAGCTCTTTGTATATCCTGGAGATTAATGCTCTATCTGAGGTGCAGGTGTCAAAGATTTTCTCCCATTCTATAGGCTCTCTCTTCATGTTCTAGATTTCCTTTCCCATGAAGAAGCTTTTTAGCTTGATGCCATCCCATTTATTGATTCTTGATTTTATTTCTTGTGTTTTAAGAGTTTTGTTGAGGAATTTGTTTCCTAAGATGATATGGTCGAGAGTTGGGCCTACTTTTTCTTCTATTAGGCATAGGGTTTCTTGTCTAATTCCTAGGTCCTTGATCTACTTCAAGTTAAGTTTTGTGCAGGATGAAAGATAGAGATTTAATTCCATTTTGCTACACATGTATTTCCACTTTTCCCAGCACCATTTGTTGAAAAGGCTATCTTTTCTCCAATGTATGTTTTTGGCACTATTGTGCCTAGTATGAGATGGTATTTATGTGGGTTTGTCTCTGTGTCTTCTATTCTGTACCATTGGCCTACATGTTTATTTTGGTGCTGATACCATGCCTTTTTGTTACTATAGCTCTATAGTATAATTTGAGGTCTCATATTGTGATGCATCCAGCTTCACTTTTCTTGCTAAGGATTGCTTTTGCTATTCTGGGCCTCTTATTTTTCCAAATGAATTTCATGTCTACTATTTCTATTTCTATGAAGAATGTTATTGTGTTGTTAATAGAAGATACATCAAATCTGTACAACACTTTTGATAGTATGACCATTTTGACAATGTTAAATCTGCCTATCCAAGAGCATGGGAGATCTTTTCATCTTATAAAGTCTTATTCTATCTCTTTTGTGTTTTGTAGTTTTTTTTTGTTTGTTTGTTTTTGTTTTTTGTTTTAAAGAGAGAGGAGAGGGAGGGAGAGAGAGAGAGAGAGAGAGAGAGAGAGAGAGAGAGAGAGAATTTATTTATTTA